TATAATAAATAGCTACTCGGTATATTTTTGTTAACTGCTCTGGTTATTTCCTCAGGATGAATCCTTAAGGAAAAATGTATAAGCTTTTGGAAAAGGTTGTTAAATTTCCCCAGAGAGTGTCTAGAACTAATGTCTTCCACTGGAAGTGTAGAGAAGTTTCCATACTTTTTTAACATTGAATGTTCTCCCTTCTTATCCAAATGTTCAATTTTGCAGCTCTTTAGTGGCTGAAGTGAGCATATCTATGTCTCTTATTCATCAGATTTTTTTTTAATCCCTTTAAAATTCACTCATGTCTGCCACTTATTTTAATTGGTTTAATTGTTTACTTTCTATTATCCGTGGAAGTTTTAATAAGCAGCATAGTAGAAACTCTTTTCCAGTTACACAAAATATAAATATTTTTCATTTGTAATTTTGCTTTTTAAGTTTGTTTACAGTGTTTGCTATTTGTGAAAAGACATATTAAAATTTGTATGCTGTCCTCACTCTTTTGACTTTTCTTGTTCTTTCTAGAGAAGTGTTTTCCTCCCCAGACTTATAAAAAGTTTAGTTATTTGCTCTTTTAATAATTTTATGTATAAAAATTTACTCCTGTAATCCTACTGGAATCTAGTAGCTGTGAAAATATATTGATCTAATCTTCTTTTCAAAGACTTGTTGTTATACCTTTGAGTCAGTTCTGACTCACAGGAACCTTGTGTCCAACAGAATGAAACACTGCTCAGTGCTGTGCTATCCTCACAACTGTTGTTATGTTTGAGCCCATTGTTGCTGGAAATTCATCTCTTTGTGAGGTTTTCCTCTTTTTTGATGACATTCCACTTTTCTAAGCATGATGTCCTTTTTCCTCCTTCTGATAACATAGCCACAGTCATGAGACCGAGTCTTAACATCCACACTACTCAGGAGCATTTTGGTTGTACTTCTTTCAACACAGATTTGTTTGTTGTTCTGGCAGCCTATGGCACTTTCAATATTCTTCTCCAACTCCATGATTCAAACGCATCGATTCTTCTATGGTCTGCCTTATTCACTGTCCAACTTTCACATGCATATGAGGCTACAGGAAATACCAAGGGTTGGGTGAGGCTCACCTTTGCTCTTAAACACTGTAAAGAGTTCTCTTACAGCAGATTTGCCTGATGCAATATGCCATTTGGTTTCTTGACTGCTGCTTCCATGAGTATTGATTAGGGTCCAAGCAAAATGAATTCTTTTACAAACTCAATCTTTTCTTCACTTAAAATGATGTTATTTATCGGTCCTATTGTGAGGATTTTCATTTTCTTTACATTGGGGTACAATCCATGATGGCTGTGGTCTTTGTTCTTCATCAGTAAGTATTCAAGTTCTCTTCATTTCCAGCTGCAAGGTTATATCATAGGCATATTGCAGGCTGTGGTTAAGAATCTTCCTCCAATCCTGGTGCCTCATTCTTCTTCATATAATCCATCTTCTCAGATCATTTACTCACCATACAAATTGAATAAGTATAGTGAAAGAATACAACCCTGGTACACATTTTTCTTGATTTTAAACCATTCAGAATCCACAACATAGTTAGACTGCTATTTTATCAACATAACTATTTTTTTTCTAGCTGATTCAAATTTGTTTGTACTATAAATAAAACTTTTATTTATGGTGTTGGAGGAGATTATTGGAAGGGCCATAGGCTGCCAAAAGAACCCACAGATCCATATTGGAAAAAGCACAGCCAGAGTGTTCCTTGGAGACCAGGATGGCCAGACTTCATCTCTCATACTTCAGACATATTGTCAGGAGGGACCAGTTGCTGGAGAAGGACTACATGTTTGGTAAGGTGGAGGGTCAGTGAAAAACAGGAAGACTCCCAGTGAGATGGATTGGCAAAGTGGCAGCATCAATGGGTTCAAGTGTGGAAACAATTGTGAGGTTGGCCTAGGATCAGGCAGTGTTTCATTCAGTTGTACATAGGGTCACTATGAGTCGGTACAGACTTGATGGCACTTAACAACAAGAAAAACACAAATAAAATAAAAATAGTTCACGGTTATCTGGGTGGTGCAAACAGTTAGCTTCAAGTCTACCCAGAGATGTCTTGGAAGAAAGATTTGACAATCTATTTCCAAAAATAAAAATCAGCTGTTGAAAATCCTGTGGAACATACTTTGACACACACGAGATCCTCATGAACCAGAATCTACTCAAGAGCAACTGGAAAAAGATCTTGGTCAATGGCCGTATTTTAACCCTCTGCTTGGTAAATTATGTTGGAATACTGCCCTCCTAGACTCTGCAGAGAACTTGAAGGGAATCCAGAAATCCATTGTTTTCTAGATCAAGACACTCAGCTGTTCCAGGAGCCGCCATCTTGGGAGAGAACATCTTGATTGTATCAGGATTGATAGTA